GTTTGAGATCAGGGAATGAGGACAAACAACTTTGAAGGAAGATTAAAACGCCTAGCAGGCCGAGAAAACCGTCGAATGAGTCTGTACTTAGTTGCCGGGCAATCAACCACTGGTTTCAAGATGACGATCGTCAGGTTCAGAACCAGAAATCTCTCAACCACATCCTGCGCCAACCAATATAAGCAGGTAGGATCACCACGGGAAAGTCAAACCACAAGAGGCTCTGCCACCAGAAATAGAAAGCATCCAGATACTTGGATGAATGTAGCCTATTCGCTTCCAAGTTTCCGAACTGAGCGATCAATTTTAAGGTTTTCATCCAACTAAAGTCAAACGTTAACTCAATCCTACTTATGGTGCGGGTGCCCACTTTTTGAGAACAATCTGCCAACAAGTGGAAATTACCCCTTTGCGGGCATGATCATCTCTTATGAGACGCTGGATGCCACAACTAATATGAATGAAAGAGTCTTCTAAATAAAAGACTTAACAAAATTGCTGGACGTTGAGGGCTTTTGAGAGCAGATGGCAGATCATGTACCGTGCTTGTCTCTTGCCTTATACTACTACTATTATGTTTAATGCAGCGTGATTATGCGAATCATGTAGCATTGGCTAGCATTGCGTGACAGCCAACACGTCTGATGAATCGCTCCCTTGCGGGAGAATGAATGCTGCTGTATCCTGCGATCGGGCCGTCTGCGAGCCACTTTGCAGGGATGCAGACTTTCTTTTTCCTGATGCTTGTCCACCAGAAACCAATGTGTTCAGTGATTAATTTGTTCCAAAAGATCGCTATATTGTTAATATACGGGTTGAGACACATTGAATCAAACAGACCGTAACCTGGACTTGGAATGCTACTTTGTGCAACCATCATCGATAAGAGCGCCGATCGTACCTGATGTCAGCCATTCAAGTTGTCCAGGGTGAGACATTGCCATCATCATAAGACAACTTCCTTACGCCGGACTGTCCCAGATCTTTAATGGCGCTCTTGAGAGATGGAATTGCACCCAAACTACCAAGCATATCTATTGGCGTCTCAGATCTCGTGCTACATGCCAGTGAGCGGAGCCTCGGGCGCAAGCCTCTTCAGCTGGCGCGGAATAGAAGTGTTTGTCAACGATGTTTGTCATAGGCCAATGCTAGGGTGATGAGCGAGATTTGAGGTAGCAGTAGCTAAGCCAAGTATTTTGCCACTCTGTTCCCGGAAGGGGGACGGGCAGATGCGATGTCGTTCTATTGGACAGATGTGCCGCACAGGGATTAATGTGTGCCCAAGCTCTTCTTGTTCACATTGTGATTCCGAGGCCAGAAGATCAGGTTGCATTTTGAGCCAGGTTGGGCGAAAGTAGAGGACGAATGAGTTTCCATTGTGCGGGCATAATGTCTGGCACAGACCCCGTTATAGTTATGACAGCCATTGAGAGGCGCAATCTAAGCAACGGAGTAGGACACTGTCTGGGAATTGACCAATCTACCAGCACTAACCGGGGAGCTCAGCATATGCCAGGCATTGGGGCCGACTAGCTAGCTCAGCTCATTAGAGAATGCGCCACTAGTCTCGAGGCGTCTCTGGTGTGTAACCGACAATGTGTCTATATTAGGCAAAGTCCAGTTATGGGCGAGTCATTATTTGCTACTTGAATTGCCACGGAGTTAGTCCCGACTGCCAGTTAGGGAGAAAAGGGATACCAACAAACGTCTCAGCTCTTACCTGAAATTTGGTACTGCTGTGCAGGATTGCTGTGTATGATTAGAAGCAGTTCCTGAGTTGAAGACAAAAGTAATATCAAGGCGTCACATCAATTGTTCTAGATGACCCATGGCCGATAGAAAGAGTGTTGATGATTGCGGACGTACTGCCGCAATGTGTTGAGGTGAAGAGGATCGCCCAACGAGAGGACTCGAAATTGAGACTAGGTGGTGCGGGGTAGGGGAGGGTGGGCCTCCGCTTAGCGTCCGGAGGGTAGCACTCGGTTGACCGTTTAGTGGCCTCTCCAACAGTTCCTCTTCGCTAACTTCCACTAGGCCTCCATTGTCTCACTTCCTCCCCCGCGGACCCTGAACTTCCGATGCGCTATCCTGCTCTTCTCCCTGTACACTTGGCGAGCTGCATTAGCTAACATCCACTCACGAACAAATGAGAATCCGGGGGCGGGCCGGGTGTAGAGCCCATCGTGGCGCCACCACGCTCTGGTTCTCCTACCAGCGAAGTCAAATTAATTGCTTCTCGCGATGATTACTTTGTTGCGCTGGTCAGGTGCTAGGTACTATTTTCTCTCCGATTCTATCTACTACTATTGCTGTATTGCAACCGAACGTGCCAGCAATGACAATAATAGGGTCAAGATGTGCCAGGAAACCAGGGACTGGGAACCCTCAAGGTTCCGGCCACACTCAAAGGGGAAAATGAGCGTCGGCCCTGCAATCAAACGCATTGGCCCAGAACAATCATTACGGTGACGATCACCAGTGCACTTTTCAGGAACGAGTCAATTCTGGTATCATGGACCAGGCTCGACGTCTCGGTTCGAGCACGCTAATTAGGCCAACCCCAGAAGTTGCAGGGAAATCTTCCCCTGGCCCACATTCTCGCCTCGGCCGCAGTTCCCTCCCATGTGAGCTCTAACCTGTCCATGGTGTATATAAAGACGCTCACCCACGGCCACTGAGTAGATGTACAGCAGAGCCAATCTCAGCCTCAAGCACTCGTTCAGTTCTCCAGCTTTGTTTATAATAACATATCTACTACTCTTAATATCTATTCAACTACCGTCGTTATCACCGTCAAGATGAAGTTCTCCGCTGCCTTGTTCACTCTGTTGGCCACCAGTGTCATGGCCAACCCCACCAAGGTTGCTCGCGAGCCTACCCTCGTCGAGCGTGACGCTGCCTCCATCACGAGCGTCCTCTCCGACATTAGCACCCAGGTCCAGTCTCTTGACTCGGCCATCAACTCTTACTCTGGAGGCGACCCCTCCAAGGTCGAGTCCGCCTCTTCCTCCTTGGTCTCGGAGATTAACTCTGGTGTCTCCACTGTCAACGGAGGATCTGAGCTCAGCGCCACTGATGCTCTCACCATCACTGGCCCGGTTCAGGATCTCACCAAGGAGGTGCAGACCACCATTGATGATCTGATTTCGAAGAAATCCGACTTCGTGTCCGCTGGGGCTGGTGCCACTGTCTACGCTCAGCTGCAGAAGCAGTACACTGCTTCCAAGAACCTGGCCGATGCCATCACCTCCAAGGTCCCGTCCTCTCTGTCTAGCATCGCTAGCTCCTTGTCTTCCGGTATCACCGACGCCATTCAGAAGGGTGTCGATGCCTACAAGGACGTGGCCACCTCGTCCGCCTCGGCCGCTAGCTCCACCTCCGAGGCCTCCAGTGCTACCTCCGCTGCCTCTGCTACCGATGCCACTACTGCTGCAACCACTGCTGCCTCTACCACTGAGAGCGCTGCTGCTTCCACCAGCTCCAGCCCCGTCATCCCCAGCTCTCCCTCCTCTGCTTCTGCCTCCTCCACTCCCAGCGGCTCTGCCTCTGCCTCCGCCTCTGCCTCTCCTTCCCTCTACACCGGTGCTGCCAGCGTGGAGCGCTTCAGCTACACTCTCGGTGGTGCTGCTGTTGCTGCTGCCATTGCCATCGCTGTCTAATTGACATAACGATGGACTGAGTGAGCCCTGCGACGAATAACGAGGTGAAATGGTCAAGGTCCACAACACTCCCTTTACTGCTTCAATAAAGGCAATGGACTTGCCGAATGTATATCTTACTACTGCCTCATGAGGCTTAGAACCTGTACCAATTTCGAGGCTTGGATATTTTTGTTATTTTGTTTCTTGTCATCTGTTGTTATAGCTATAATACAGTGTATTCTGGCGATGCCTGTGTCTAAAAGCAGTAATATAATTACAGAGTAGCATAACATGTTCAATTTGGTCTCTCCTCTACTGCCCTTGTAAATCTGAAAATATCCAAGATCTCCCTCACTCACTAGACTGTCACAGCCCGGTACATAGGTGTGCGAGCCCTTCAAGGCATCCGAATCAGAAAGCCGGCCAACGCATCGCCCTTGCAGGATCACATGTAACACTACTGGTCAGCCGTAGCTACTCCCTAACCGCGATCTAATGCAGGAGACCAGAAAAGTCCCGCAATGCAGGCTACCTATTCGCAACACATTCCCGTTATGGGCAATTCTACTGCATTGTAACAGTGCTTGGAAACTTAGTAACCCTTGGTAGGGTCAACTAGCTGAAGACATCATGCACGCACACATTCTGTTACGTTATGTCAACTTCCAATCCGTGCATCAAGGGCCGATTTGTAATTCGCGTGTAGACGCATGGCAACTATGATAGATGTGATAGGGGAAACCACCTTGACGTATAATGACGCCTGATTTCGTGATGAGTTAGGCGCTTTTTCTGGCCTGATTATAGCAATATGCTGAAGAACGAAGGTCCCTGGTCATAAGTAGTAGTTAAATTGGTGATCTTTGATGTGCCAGATATCACCCTGTGTTCAATTTAGGTCTTTGCAAATATATATCTTTACCTACATTGAGCTCCGACCTCAGCAGTACGGTAACTTAGTACTATCCATTTCCTTAGTGATTGACGTTTTGATTTTGCAGAGTATCATGTGTCGTCCAAGGTCGTCACGATGCTCAAAACTAACCCCAGGATAGTCAAATACTACGCTGAAGCTGCGGTAAGGCATTGCAGAGAGGTATAGCTATGATGGCTCTAATCTCGGCACGCCATAGCCCATCATACCGCATTCAGCTTAGGCGTTCCGCAATATCCGTCTGCCTCCCACCAGACTTCTTTCGGTTAGCAAGTCCGCTTGGATGCCCAGATCCCACCCACTCACATTGGCCTTTTGATGTCGGAGTCCGCACGGAGTGAGGCACACCAACAGTATCGTTGGCCGCTAATCAGTCTAATGGAAGCGCTCTCCTTTTCCCCACTTCCGTCCATTCGATATCCAGACACATTCCGGCAGAAGCAAAATGCGCCAGGATTAATCCCCACTGAACATGTTTCCGACCACCGACTGGCTAACCAAAAAGACGGCGCTTAGCAGAGCGTGACCATCACTCAAGAGAAGGAAGGCGCTTATCCTTAACCACACGGCCCCGTGATAAGGCTAGCGGTTATATAACCTGAGAACAACCTCGATTTCAGGCAGCAACATCACACCACGAGTTCTCCTCCTCTCCTTCCGCCTTCTCCTTGATCGAACATCATGGCTCGAAAATTCCCTGTCGACTCTGCTGGCCCAGATATTGTCCGCGACTACATCATTACCACCCTAATCAGAAAGCATGAAGCGACGCCAGAATACGCAGAGAAACTGGCTACCTCCTGGCAATTAGGCCGGGTCCGGGAGCTCCGCTCCGCAACGCTGAAGCATCTGCAAGACGACTTTGGAAATGACGTTGGCTTGTGTATTTATCGCTCCATTCGAGAGGATATGCTCGAAGACTGGCAGGAAACGACTGCAGCAGCAGTCACCATTTGTTCGTTGCCCCTCGCTTATTCCATTACAGTAGTCATGGAAATTAACAATGTTTCGCTCAGGGACTGTGTCTACCGCGACGATGATCCATCTTGTGGTTGTCGGGTTGTTCATCCTACCCGAATTGGGACTCATGCAACCTTGTGGTATGTTTTCTTTCCGATTTCGATCCAAATGTTGTTACAGTCTACATCGCTGACTGTTGTCTCTGCTCGTAGAACGTATCCGCGTGGCAAAGTCGCCTGCGTCGTGGCTGTTGTTTGGTTTCGCCTGGCTCAATTATCACTACCAGAGACAGGATATCGAAGAGCCGGGTCATATATCACTCGCAGGTCCTGTAGGGCTTTTGAGTATAAGCGTGGGCCTGTATTTGTTTTCAATGTAGAGTACATGCCTTCCAGTTTTCTTTTATAATATTTATGGAGACCGCTTGAAGTATGATGAGGCACTCAAGGGGGGTTCTAGTTGATTGAATATGCTGTGGCGCGCATTACCTTTTCGGAGAGCAATGTTTAGCATCAGTTTCTAACACACTCAGCTACCAGCATCTAGTATAGGCATTCAGTCACTCTGGAGCTAAAGAGTAAAGTTGCTGATAAAGTGGACGACGAGCTATCAAATTTGAGGTATGTTGCTACAGCGACTCATCGGCTGGTAAGTTTGTACTTCAGAGTGAGATACTGTGAAATTCCATTGAATCGTATAATGAATTACAGAAAAGGATTTCGTGCATCTTCCCCCCACGGACCAATTCCAGGGCCTTTGAACAGTTTTCCTCCCTTCCAGACGTGGGTAACCGCCTTCGGCTCTTGGAATATCTTTATGTCCTCCAATGGATTCTCCTCCAACGCAATCACATCTGCTTCGTACCCCTCACGAAGCTGACCCGTTAATGGTGCCTGTGGTCCAACCGACAAGGGAGCGTTTGCAGTTGCAGCTTTGATGGCCTCCAACGGCGTCATGCCTCCTCTCTCGACAGCAAACTGCAACTCCAGCGCGGTAGGACCACCAGGAGCGGTATCAGTTCCCAACGCAATAGTAACCCCCGCCTTGATAGCCCCCTGATAAGCTTTCAGATGCGAATCAGCAAGCGCCTGCAACTTGGCCCACGACTCCTTCACCAAACCCTCTCCATTGCTAGCGAGAAATATTTCAATAACTGAGCGTGTGGCCACATAAAGGATGCCCTTTTCTTTCATAAGCTCCCACACTTCCTCGTCAGCATAAGACACGTGCTCCAGACTTTTGCAACCTGCTTTTATAGCAGCCATAATTCCAGCCTTGCCGTGAACGTGTGCAGAAACGATCCGGTTCTGTCGAGCAGCCTCTTCCACTATCACCTTGAGTTCCTCTGGAGAGAATTGTGCAAAGTTGGGGTTATCGTCTCGCGACATGACACCCCCTGAAGCCATCACCTTGATAACCTTTGCACCGCGACGGAGTTGCAACCGTACCGCTCGTCGGACTTCCTCCACGCCGTCAGCGATACATAGCTGCCCTGCTCCCCAGTATCCCGGCCGAGGGTTCGTGACTCCATAATTCCCCAGAACCTCACCTGCGGGAAGAGCGAAAATATCGCCGTGTCCAGCTGTTTGACTAAGAGCAGCGCCGGACGAATACACATTTGGTCCAACGATCGTGCCGTCATCGATCGCCTTCGCGACCTCGCACCCATATCCGGCCAGGTCGCGGTAGGACGTATACCCATTCTGCAATCCTTCCCAGCACCCACGGGCTAGTCGAGCTCCTGATGATGCTGGATGAGTGGCCAGACCAGAGGTATAATCATTGTAATAGTCGTCATCACCGCCAAAATGCATGTGGCAATCCCACAAGCCTGGCATGAGCACAGGGACACGATGAGTGGACTGCGTGGACCGGAGGTATTTCTTAGGAATGTCGGCTTCGGGCCCGACGAACGCGATGATCTTATCGCTGATGACTAGGGCGGCATTGCGCAGAGGTTCTCCGTCGCCAGGAATCAATAGACCGGCATGTATTATAGTGACCTTGGCTTCATCGGCTGATGCAACAACGAGTGGTCTTCGATGGATATTCATCGAAACAGAATTGGGACGGACACAGTATGCTGCGCCAAGTGGCGACATGGTCGATTGCGCCATAGGAGTAGCTGAAGCAATTCGGCGAACCATGATGATGATGAATTCGACTTAGATATCTGCAAACAAGCACATGGAAATTGGGGAAACTGCCAAATAATAACCCCAGAGGTGTCGGGGAAAATGGTCTGTCAGCAATTGCTTGTCTCGTATCGGAGTCCGTCGGGGCTATCCCAATCCCTGCACCGCTATCGTTATCTGTCGATAGTATGTGAGATTTTAGCCGGTAAGCTAGACCATCTCGGGTGTCAAGGCTTAAGCCACACTATCCCGCCTGAGACGACGGAGGTCTGGCTCCATTGTCTCTCTCTTATGCAGGACCGAGTATAACTAGCGCCGATTTTCCATACTGCGCTTACGGTTCTGAGTAGCTTACTCATGACGCTCTCTGCTTGGCGATAGCATGAATCAGCTGATGAGGCTTATATTGATGTGGAAACAGCCGCAGGTGTACACGCTCAATTATCAACTGCGGGGCTTTTCTACCACGTCCTTAGTGCGATTTACGTTCATATAACGCTGCCTTGCTTGGATAGTGTCCTGTCTGTCAGAGCTAAATGTATTGGGTACACCGACACACGTCGACCATCTAAGCACTTCACGCCATCGCAGTTTGCGCATGACAAAGGGGCATAGGTCAAGTCACGTAAGCCAGAATACCGAATCACTATAACAAACACTGACCATTTTACTGATAGAATCGGTGTCGCCTGTGATGCGGGTATGTGTACGATAGGGATTCCCAACCTCAATTGTGGATATGAATCACATAGATGCTCTCGAGTATTGTTGATGGGTCGAACTGTGACAGTAAGATGTCTTTCAGAGAAGCTGAAGACATCACTAAATGTGCCTGATCAATTGGATGGCAATTTTGAGACTGAGACTGAGCATTTCCTCGAGCACAATTTTTCGTCTGCTCCCTGGCAATTTTGTCCTAAGGCGTAGGGAGTTGTCGTCGCTATGTACGTGATTAAGGTGCAGTTTCAGTGACATTAACCACAATCCCGTCGCGTCTGACGCGACGAGGGAAATGGAAAATCATCGGTGTTTATTTGGCCCCAGGAAATGATTCCCGCTGTTGCATTGTTTTGGGGCAGTATCTCTCAGCCTGCCTTCCGCCCCCGGCCCCCAACTTTATTCGTCTCAGTCATAATGCGGACCTCGCGGATGGGAATGCGATCATGAAGACTCGAAAGATTTTACAGCTTCCAACCACCAGGTCAACCTGCATGAAACCTTATAATTTAACTCACAGAGCCATCCAATCTGAGTGAACTTGCAGAAACAAATCCCTGGCAAGCTTTTGGCGCCACGAACGGATCGATCGATCTCACTCTCCTGATCGACGAGGAACGGTGGATCCGAAGCCGATCATTGCTCTCCTCGTAAGTTTTATTGTCCTGCTGGAGCACACTATGCTAAATAGCAAAAGCAAAACCTACGCAGGGAAATTGTTATTTCCCACCGCGTACTTAAGAACGGAGCAGCCCCTCTTCCCGGCACACTCGCGTGTCACACAACTTGAACGGTCCAACCGAAAGATGCGGCTCTCTCCAATCTACGTGCTATCATGGGCTCTCCAGGCCTCGGCTACCATTCTGCAGAATGGCCAGGTTCGAGAAGATCCCTACCCTGGCCAAGCTAAGGCCATCTCGTTGGATGATGGCTCTTGGCGGACTTATCAACCGGACGCGTCGGAGATCGCATATAAGGGGAGGTGGGATAGTAAATATGTTTCTTGTGAGGCCCCGTGCTGATTGCAATAATCGGGTCGCGTGTGTTGCTAACTGACTGCTTCGTCAGGGTGGTCGTATGTCTCAATCGGTTTCCTCTGGGCGATGACGTCGCACTAACAGGTACAGACTTCCGGGTATCAAGCTTGGGTTCACGGGCGAGCAGGTATGATAGTGCTGGTCATATGAGATAATGGGACGCTGTCATCTGACATAGCATAGCTTGCTGTAAGCTTTGGTCCGCAGACGAGTGAAGGCGTCCTTCTGGCTTATCGGTAGGGATCTGAGCAAGGAAATTGGCATCTCCTGCTGACTCTATAGGATTGACGGTTTGGACTGGCAATTCTCCAATGTGACTGCGAACTCAACATATCAATTTGCTGGGTCGTGGACCCCAGGGTTGGATTTGGCCAAGAACAACACATTTGAAATGAGAGGTAAGTGCAATTCTTCAACAACTGAAACTCATGCTGACAATTGTCTAGTTACGAACTGGGGCTACGGATAAGTTCATCGCTCCATCATGTAGACGCCTTACTGACCTTTCGCACAGTTCAATTGGCCGGTGTCTCGGTCGCTTCGGATTCACAGCTTGTTACAGTTCCTCAATACAGCAAGACTGTGGAGATCATCGGTGATTCGTACGTTCCTTCCTCCCACCCTCACGCCACAGCTAACAGCTCTAGCTTCGCATCGGGACAATATGGCACCTACGAAGGGCTTTCCTCATGGGCATACAACTACGCCGCTGGGCTAGGCGACGTCGAATACTCGATCACCGTATGTTCCCGTTGCACGTTGCATTCGCCATCTAACCATAACAGGCATATCCCGGTATCTGCTTAACGGATGAACAATGCTACGCGGACAAGGCGCGCGGCATGGTTAGTTGCCCCTATATCCCACAGAGACAAGCCTCTAACTTGTTCAGACACACCAATGGTTCTACGCCTCCGATGCAGGCGTGCGTGCGAACGCCACCTACGGAAACCAGCCCGAAAAGTGGGATTTCAGCGCCCATCGCGCGGCCGATCTAGTCATCATTGACCTGGGCACAAACGACCACCGCGCCGTAAACGACATCCCCGGTTCGACCTTCTACGACAGCTACGTCGAGCTCGTGACCAGCGTGCACGAAACATGGCCGAACGCACAGATCGTTATCATGGTATGCACACCCTCTTCCCCTACCCCAAGCCGAGAAACTAACCGCTAACAACCTCTCCAGTCCCTCTGGGGCAACTTCACCCGCTCAGGGGACACCTACGTACAATCCCCCTTCTACGTCTCCGAGATCCAGCGCGTGGCCGAGCATTTCCAAGACGACGGATTCGTCTATTACTTCGACACCAAGGGCGTGCTGCAACACAACGACATCGACCCGCAAGAGCACCCGACCGACGTCGGCCACATCAAAGTGGCCAGCCACCTGATGCAATGGACGAAGCTCAAATTGGGATGGGAGTTTGGAGCCACAGGTCCGGAAGTCCAGCACGACACGCTGTACTGGAACAACGAGGATAGTTATCGGCGGTCGTTCGATGGCAGTTACTGATCTACATCATCCATCATATACCTAATAATACACGGATAGATAGATATATAGAGATTTTACAAGAAATGTAGGACAGCGACTACATGCTGAGACACAGCAAAGGCAGAACCCTCGCTCTAGGTTTGCAACAACATGAAGTTGAACCGCACATCCACTTTTTATCGGTATTAAGAGGCATACAGCAGACGACACTCGCTCAAGGATGATTAGGGCCTCAGAGGAGACTTGTCGTG